TGATAGCTGAGCTAAGAGCCAGGACATGAACACTGGCCAATGCTTCAGCGACTGACATGTTCTCGACCAAACATTTATTTGACTTGGTACAACAAATAAATTTGTTGTACCAGTAGAAAAGAAAGGCTTCGTGTTCTCCCTTCCTGAGGTTTTCATCCCCTCGGCCAATGAAGTGTTGAATGAGGATGTTGTAGTTGAAGAAGTTCTTGTGCAACTTCTGAACTTCCTTTTTCAGCGACTCTTGGTTTTTCTTCCTCAACGACTCGACAGCGCATTCATCGAAGAACATCTTGAGGTCGAGGTTGGATGGGCACCCGAAGAGGAAGACGTCAATCGGGAGACCTGAAGGGGAAACCTCGAGGATGGCTGAGATGTCGAGAATGGTGGGGCCAATAGGGTCGAGTGGAAGGACCATAGTATTGGTGAGAGCTGCCATGAGAAGTTCTTTGTCCATGACGATCTCGATGGTCGAGAGCTTGATGGCATCATAAATGCTGAGAATCTTCCACTCCTTACTATAGAATTTCTCCATCCTTTCAACCCACACTACCCAGGCCGCGGTAGTTGAAAGCCAGGCTTTTTGGGGTTTAGTTAGTTCCCACTTCAACCAATCATAACCTTGAAGCAAAGGTTCCAGGCAGTGATCTTTGAGAAGGTTGGTAATGGACACTGGGACGTTGTCTTTAAAGAATGGTCCCAGGATCTGATGGGAAGCGCTCGAGTCACCTTCGAATCACAGGTTTTTTATGGCACTCCGGTCAATAAAGTCTCGACACTTAGCACAGTCGTCGGAAAGCTTAGAAATGAAGGTGTTGGGAGCAATTGTGGATGACTCGAAGGAACTTCTAGATTCAAAAGAGTTTTTCTAGTTAAGAATGGAGCTTTAAAGAATGATTTGAGAGTAAAATGTTTGAGATTTCTGAAGGCGTAAAGGAAAAAATGAAGTATTTTGAGTATTTATAAGGGTTTTAGGAGAAGGACAATCGTTTGATTTTGAAAATAAAGGGTAAAACTAGTCGGACAGTTTTACAATCATTATGGAGATTCGGGAAATCCATATGAAGAGATCAAGAAATTCGTAAACCAAGGCTGCATATTGGCATGTGACGGCAGATTCAATGATGAAGAGACGTTTGATTATGTGCACGACTCAAATAGACCTGAAAATTCGCAGTTCGAGGTTATAATGATAGCGTGTGGTAGGGTTTTAGGGTTTGAGATGACATATCAGTGTCAAGGACGAACGTGCTAAGAAGATGCCACATGGCAGGGTGTCTGACAAAATTAGATCGTGTGATCGTGTCATAAATGCGCCTGATGGGTGGAATATTTGAGACTTTCCTTTATCCTTTAAAGATACATTTAGGGTTTGATTTCACTTCTTCAAGGTCAAAATTCGGCTAAGGAGTTCTAGGCCGAAAACCTCAGAAGCGAGAGGGAAATGTTTGGGCCTAAAATAATATTATTGGGTCGAGCGTAGGTTCATGTTCGGCCCAAGGCTTTTCCAAACATACTATGGAGCATCTAGTGGTCATAAGTCGCCCAGTCAAGTGGGTCGAGTCCTATTGCAAGAAGGATTGGACTGGATAAGAGCGAGTGGGTCGAGTCCTAATATGAAAATGAGTTTTGATGGAATGAGGATGCTAAGATTTGATAAATGAATGCGGCCGAGTAAAGAGTTTGGTTCAAAGTCCTAAGGGAGGTAGGATTGGCCGAGACGTGGTTAGATTATGATAAAGAATCCTAATCCGGGTATAGTTATGGTTCAGCCATGATAAGGTTGGGTCCTATAAATACAAGACGATATACAGTGAGAAAGGCCCCCTCCAATTCAACATACAAACTACCTTGCATAAACCCTCGTTCCACGTGAAACCTCTCAAACATCTTGAGATTTTAATTTTCTTTTTCGCCAACACATCTTCAGTTTGGATAAACAGCACTGTTATCGTAGAATCAGCCGACCTCGGAGCACCTTCAGTTTGGATAAACAGCACTGCGTCGAGACCGACTGGTTATCTATCCAAGTATCGGCCAGAAGGATTTTCGAGTTCTTGTTAGCAAAGGTCATCTCATTAGCCTTCTCAGCGAAGTGAGGTGTTACAAGCTACTGGGCTCGGCACTTTGAACGCCGAGTTATTTTATAATTGGATACTCGCAAATGGGATTTAGAGTTCAGCATTATGACGGCCGAACTGCATTTATGATTAAGACGTACATTTATTTTGAGTACTTGTGTCATATAGTTTGGTGTCGATTCGGCGTGCTTATACTCTTACGAATATAATCATTGTGACCAAACCCGGCGCCAATGATTTGTGAACTTCGCAGAACTAGCAGCCTTATCTTCAAGCTCTAGAACCCGAAGGTCGAGATGTGTTCCTTCCTCGGTCGCAATCGCAAGATTAAGAAGTCAGCAATGCGCCCAACGCAACGTAACATATTCTACTTCTCGATCGAGCTCGATCAACGAGTTGGCACGTCCCGTACACAACCGAAGAACCTAGTTAGCTCATTAATTACTTGGCATGCGTGCCACGTAGGCTTGGTAGTTTTTAGGGTTAACACATTCACACGAACTTCACGGCTTATCCGAGTTGTTATTTGTCCGGTGCACCATTCCCATGGTATAGGGACGATTATGCAAGTTTTAGTAGATATGAGGAGGTTTGGGGTAACCGACAAAGTTCATGGAGTGTTAGGCTACCCCTATACTTTCCTTAAAAAGATGTGATTATTGTTATTTTCAGTTCAATATTTCAGTTTGTATTTCCTGCATCCCCCTACAGTCTACAGGTCACGTGTCGATTTCCGGCGTATCTCGGGAACAGGGCGTGACATTTCAAGAGTTTGTCAATGTAACCTCAAATTTTGTATGAGATTTTTCAGATATTTGCATGTTTCTACAATTGCAATTATTGAAGAAAAGTTTATCTCATAGCCAAACAATGCTACACTTACTAACTTTTTATCCCAACTTATTTGCCAAACTAATGTGTAGGGATGGGCACGGTCTAGTTTGGCTCGGTTCCACCCTTAAAATGGAACTGGAATCAAAAAAATTCAACGCTTCGGTTCATGCAGTTCCGCTTAAATTTATTACTAAAATCGTACGGTTCGGTTCATGACAGCTCCAGTTCGGTTCATGCCGGTTTACGGTTCTAACCAAAATTATACATATGTTTTTTCTAATTTTCTACTTCTAATACCAAACACATATTTCAACCACAAATTCTAGTAAATTTGAATTTTCACTACTAGATCTACAAGATTTGTGACCGGAGGATAGAAAGTGTCATATAAATATAAATCAAATGATAGAAGGGCTCCTATCAAGACCAAAGTGTAGATCTTAAACTAAAACTAAAATGTACATAATGCATAATATACTAGAAAAGAATGGAGAAAAATAATGTAGGGGAAGAAAAGTGATAAAACAACAAAGGAAGGGGAGAGAAGTGAAGAAAAATATTTGGCTTATGCACATGGTCTTCTTGGAAAAATGTCTTATTTATATAAAAATAATAATAAAACAATAATTTATATTACAAGTGGTTCGGTCCGGTTCCTCAAGTTCTTAATATTTCCAAACCTAAACCGAAACCATTTGAAACGATTCGGTTCGGTTTTTGTTCCTATTTTGACTTTTTTGGTCAACACGGTTTTTTTTTGTCACAGTTCGATTCGGTTTTCCGGTTTGACAGATTTTATGCCCACCCCTACTAATGTGGCACATCATATTCAGTCCCATACAATTAGTCACCCCCAACCCAAAAAAATAGAAAAAGAAAAAGAAATTATCAAAAATGATCCAAAGTTAAATTTCAATCATTGAGCGAAATAAAATTAAACAACAACAACATACTAATCAAATTTTGACAAAACGACAATTAAAAATTGATGACATTAAAAAACTAGCCAAAAACTAAACCATTTCAATAACTAAGATTTGAAAAATAATCTCCTCGATCAATTTTTAGAAGAGTAAACTTAATACAATTCTAATTTTCTAATCTTTAGTTCACTTTGTTGGATTAGGTCAAATCAAACCACTTATTTTTAGCAAGATTCTAAAAGATGTTGGGCGCCAGTTTGGCGACGAGTTAAGGCCTAGCGCTAAGGCGGACTATTGTCTGTTTATACTTAAAATATATATAACTTCATTATAAACTACAAAATAGAATGACATGTATATTAGGAAGTTTTGGAACGTAATGAAAACATGAGGATCATGCATATAATATGTACTCATTTAATTATTCAACAAGTCTCTTATAATTTATTAAAAAAATAAAATGCAAAATGAAAGTTATATATTTTCTAAGTGAGTCGCAACATAGGCGAGTGCCTAGGCGAGTGTTGGAGGGATAGGCGAGTGCCTAGGCATGCGTCTTAGCAGGTCTAGACGCTCTTTCTTAATTTTCAAATGTCTAGGCATAAATCAGGATGGTGGCCAACCTCCTAGCGCCTAGGCGGCGCTAAGCGGGGATTTTTAGAACGGTGATTTTTAGCATTATTTTTACTTATATAATCCATATTATTTCTATCTTTTCGATTTGTATTTCAATTTTTAATTGTGCTAATTAATTGATGTTGTACATATTATATTTGTATAAAAATATAGTAGTATGGATTTGTAAGAGGGAGAGTATGAAGATGGGAATGACTTTCCAAAAATAGACAACTTGGAATACAAACAGATCATCCGGGAAAAATGAATCTATATATATATAAAGGGAGAAGACCAGTTTGGTGAAGTATTCAGAAATGTCAAGAAAACTCATTTGTTTTCTTCACAATTGAAATCCAAAAAAATGAAAAAATAAGGACAAACTGGTAAAAAAAAAACTGTATTTAAAAATAAAAAATAAACATTTACATAGTGAGAGAAACAAATAACAAAAATACAACAAGAAAAAGAAAAAAAAAGGAGTGCAAACGGAAAAGTTGGAAAAGAAAACTAAAATTAAAAAAATGTTTTAAAAGTTAAAAGGAAAAAAAGAGAACATGTACGTGTTGAACCCTCAAATATGACGGAGAAAACGACTCCAACATGTTAGCAGTTTTCTCTGAATAATTCCCATGATCTGATGTGTGATTTTAGTGGGAAGTTCAACAATAACTACCCACATATCATCAATATACGGTTGGATGATCGAAAGGGAATAATTTTTGTCTTTTTGAGTTCAGTGTGTGGTTTCAATTTATTCCAACATAAAGAGTTCGACAAAATCAACAATAAAGATTGGTGAAGATCTGATATTTCGGAAAAAATTCTTCTCCGAAAATCAAATAAACCATCAGGTTAGTAATTCATATTTTCAATTTCCGTTCTCTTCCCATTTATACATATTTTTCAATTGTGTATGAATTATTTGCTTTGATGACTCAGAATTAGATTTGCGTTCATATTCAGTTGTGCTTTTTAATACATGAGTTTTTAATAGGAGTGCCTAATACCTTGAATAATATCACAAATTTCCCCCTTTTGGTTGTTTGTGTTCTGGGTTTTGTGCTCTACATGCAAGGTGTCTTTTCAACAGGTATAACACTTTCTAGATTATTCATCATAATTTTGTCTGTTGCATTGCGTCAATGGAGTTTTGATTTATAGTGATTATAATTCTCTAACTTAATATTATTTTGTTGTAAATAATATTTTCATACGGTGTGTAGTTGAGTATTTATCTGATAGTTTGTTAACCCACATCAAATCCCAAAAAGCAAAGCGTAGGAGGGGACAGAGCCCCTTTTAAACCCCGCCATTTTCAACAAGGTTTGATTTCTCTCTCTCACTTTTTTCATCCCTCCTTATTTATCTACTTGTACCCTTAATATCTATGCAGATTATCCTCTAATTGGTAAACAGAATTTAATTATTATTCTTTAGTTTATCATTTCACATCTACTAATTTTACCAGTTTAATGCTTGATTTCTTTTTGTCAATTTAATTGCGTTCTCATAGATTGCCCAATTGATTTTATTGCTTATTGAAAAATTTGTTGGAGACAGATTTTGATTTTCCTTTGATTATCTCAAGTAATAATGCAAATTCTGACCGGAACAAACATGGGTTTCTTTTTTCTTGTAAGATTATGATTTCGGGTTAAGAAGACAAGGGCAAAGATATTATGTGATTATTTGAAATAGAATGGTTTTTGCAGGGAGTCTGAATGTCTGTTGTGGCTACAGGAATCAAAAACGAGTGAAAGGTAAAAGCTTTTCTCTCCCAAGCATTCATCACCAGCAATTACAGCTAGAGCCAGGTACAGAGTTTAGGGTATATCTCTCCTCTTGCTTTCTTTCTACGATTTTTCTGTCCAAATTTCTCTGAGAAAGTTAGGGTTTTGGTTTCCGTTCTTGGATTAGATTTGTAGATATTCTTATGGATCTCACTTTTCTTTTCTTTAATAGAAGCATAATCTTGCTCTTGGTATTTTAACTTTGCTTTCTTTGCATCAAGATTGTATCTTTCTTGGTTTTCTATATAACCCATGTATTCCGTATATATTTACTTTTAGAATTCTTTGGTGTTGCTATTTTTATGTTTGGTGTCAGAAGTTTAGGTTTCATCTACTAGAAACTTGCATTACTGGGTTATAATCGTAAAGGTTCTATCAGACTAGTTACCGTATGTTACATTGTCCAGTTCAAGCCTTTCTTTGAAAATATTTTAGGGTTCTTTGTTAAAAAATAGCAATGTGAAACTAGGAAGCGCATTTTTGTTGCTTAGTTATAAGATACTTGAGAAGCCCAATATTACACTAATCAAAGAACCAAAAAGGATGTGGAGGTTTTGATTTCTTGGAGAAAAACGAGGACTAAACCTGGGAAGATGCTTAAAGCTCAATAAAGAGACCTCCGGAAATTTATACATAATAGTCGACTCTAAATCAAAATGTAAGGGAAACTCAACTTTGTCCAGTTAATGGTAGTTTGGCATAGTTTTCTTATGAGATTTTTGGGGTGGTCTTTGTGTTAGATGACGTCCGCATGCTCAGTGCATCACCGAAACTTGTGGAGTTTGACTTGGTTCAAACTCCTATCCTTTCAGCTGTTCCTAGTTTATAGGAATGTTTGGTTATTTGATTTTCTGTTGTAATCTGAACCTGTGGTTGTAATCCTTTCCTTGGTTTCTGATTGTATTTTTGAATTTCGAAAGTTCCTTGTATCTAGGGTTTTCAAACCCAATCTGTAATCATGACAGTTTATAAATACATGCATCCCACAATTGTTTGGGTATGCAATTGAAGTGAAACATTGAACTAGTAGGTTTTACATGGTATTGAGCCATTTTTTTGTCTAACGACATCGATCTTTTCCTTTCTTTCCCCACGCTCCAATGGCTGAAAACAATGTTACCCCTACCTCCTCCACTTCAAACCCTCATCCCAACCCCATTTCAAATCATTCCTTCCACCTATTTTCCACCGTCATCAACATCAAACTTGCCAGGACCAACTACCCACTGTGGTTGGCTCAAATTCTCCCCATTCTCAAAAGCCGAGATCTAATGGGATATGTTGATGGTACCTTGGTGTCCCCTTCCAAGTATCTGGATGGTTCAACAACGGTGGACCCTGTGTACACTGCATGGGTTCAACAGGATTAAATGATCCTCAGTTGGATAAATGGATCTTTGACGGCTTCTGTCCTATCTGTCGTGGCTAGCAAGAGGACTACTCGGGCCACCTGGGAAGCACTCGAGCAAAGGTAGGCTTCTACTTCCCAACAAGGATTTTGTTCTTACGAAATGAATTGATACAGACAAAGAAATATGATCTTACTGTGGCGGATTACCTAGATCGCATGAACGCGATTACCGACAACCTTGCTCTAGCTGGGGCCAGCTTGAGTGAGTGATGCAACTTTGTGAATCTAAAATATGCTGTATGTGAGAGGGCATTCGGAGACCTCGGCCTTTTGAAGATTGAACTTGCACGTTGGCGAATCAGCCACTCATACACTACACTGCAATTCACAGACTTTTATCCTATCTTCTATTAGTTCTTGATAGCTCGCTATTAACATATCTTAGCGTTTTATTGCGCGATTCCGAGACTGGTGGAGCAAGAACACTGAGCCATGTGCCGTTATGCGTGATATACATGCGCATGTCACAATTGGGATGTCATCGTTGCACACCTGTCTCAGACGAGGATCGGATTTTGAACGGAAAGCCTAACAGAGTGAGAGTGGTGACAATGTGCGCTCCACTGTCTATTAGGTAATGACATTCTGCGAGAAGTAGAAAACTAAGACAGATGATGCATTCACTATTCAAAATCCGAGTCTTTGAGAAATTCCACATATTTCACAATGGAGTAGCCTAAGACTGCGCGTATGTAATTCCGTACCAAACTGATCCCGCTACTATGCCTATTGCAGTGCAAATCAGAGCAGCTGTTTGAGCTCTATGGTAGCCAGTGGTGCAATAGATAATTAACAAGTCTCGCACAAAATTCTTGGCAGAACGCAAAAGGACTAATTATAACCCACCCTAACTAACATATTGCATGATAAGAACTATCCGCAACTCTGTCCTCCTTGACTTGTCACTCGAAAATTCTAACATGAATCTCGGTCAATATGTGAAAGGTCACGATTGCCACCCCATATCCTACACGCACTTTCAATCAGCTCACACGGAGCAATTCTCACCTGGTTGCGTCTCATGAAACACATTATTCAACTAATAATGGTTTATCCCTTTAGATATGGCTGTGGACTTAACTAAGTCCCCAATGTTCACAATAAATATAACTCATGAAACTCTCAGTATATCTCCTTTAAGCTTAAAAGAAAATACCACTGTGACAATCCGACAACATTTTAATAGTGTAGAACGCGAAGTAAAGGGTCACTTGAAGAGCATTCTTTACTCACGTTACATTGTTATTAAAATATCATCAAAATTACTTCAACTTGCTCATCTGGCTGAAGAAGTATCCCCTAATATTTCGACGACCTACTTTTCAGTTGTTCTGTCCTCAGTCTGCCCACGCCACAACACATCTCTTACCCGATAGCAATACAGAGTTATCTCCACTCTTAGATCACACAAACAAACCATAATACGTACAATATTCTCCATTTTTCCAATATTTTTCCTTGTAAGGGACCTCAAGAGCCACAGTGTAAAAGAACTGCCTTTATCATGTAGGAGACGAATATAAATGGATATAAATCATCCATATATCCCATAAGTGCTAGCATAATCCCGCGAAACTTTAAGAGGCTCTATAACACTCCAATATCTACACATTTGTATCGCTACGCTGGATTCGGTGTTCGCCTTAATGCAAGTAGATGGCACGTACCATACGACTAGTCCACAAACTTACCATGCAAATTCTATAAATTATTATTTATTATATTGCAATATATAAATAATGTTCGAGTTACTGATCAAACACTTAGGACTATAGTGAATATAACTAATTACATCGATAACATCTACAACATAACAATATCAACGTATGGTGTGGAGATCCTAAGGACTCACACTTAAATACATATAGTACTCAACGATACCTAATCCAATATTTGTCTTAGATCATGATCTCATACATATATACTATTATTAGTCTAGAGAATGTATGCAGATAAGGAATAAATACCTACGTCTACTTACATGTTTTCTTCAGCAAATCCAACACATATTTCGCTGATGATACTAGTGTTCTCCTAAGTAATAATAAAAAATTGAGGATATCCTTCTCAGAATACTTTTATCATCTATATAGTTTTAAGTTTGCGAAATATTGTGAACTCTGTTAACTTATCTCCAACTCACTATATGTAATCCATGCGATCTTTTTGTTATATACCATCCACTTATATCAGTAACAACACATAAGTGAAAGTAGTTCCTAATAATCTTTAGCGATAAAATCTAAGGTCACAATGTCGAAAAATGCTCTTATAACAGTCTTTATGCAAATAACACAAAAGCCTTGCATTAGTTGAGATGGATAGATAACTGGGTTCGGATAGACCCATTAAAAGCCATTTTGTTCTTTTCTAAAATGTCCACTTAAATAATAACGTCGAACTAAACACATAACACGAGGATCGATTTTGCGTTGAGTTCCTACCCATAAAACGACCTCTATCGCGAAATCCAAAAAATGACTACGCCCGCGCAACAGCATTACTGAACTTGCACCAAATAACACCATTCTGAGCTGAGATATGTAATGACAATCATACAATTTTACACTCTTGTTCCACATGTTCGTCGTGTCAATCACATACATCACTACTACGTCTCAACCAACATAAATGGGCTTAATGTAGTGCCCAATGCTCATATTGCCACACATCATGGCATATTTACCAAGAATAAAACTATCGATTACTTGATTACACCTTCTGCGAGCTAATACCTTTTGTCCTATGTGTCTCCCTTTAGAGGAGAATAAATTAAATGTTCTCTTAATGAAGAATCACTAACACACCAAATATCGTATGAGTATACACCTCCTTAATAGCCATCTTAACCGGATGGATTCGGTGGTTTTCCTTAGAGGTTAGTGCATTAACAATAGCTTTAAAAAACTAAATAATTACTTGGAGCACATATTGTATTATTAAATGACTTAGGAAGAACAAAAATAAAAAAACTCGATAATGGATTTACATATAGTTTATCATTTGTCGAACTGTAACATCTAACCAAAAAGAAAAAAAAAAGCTAAATGGTGTACATGTCTAACAACGCAGAAGAAAGCAGGTAAATATTTACGCATGTGACAAGTTCGCACAATAACCTCAACTAGATAATTCGTGGGACCATGCTTCCCTTAACAGAGGACACCACACTGTACTGTTTGCTAGAAACGTCAACAGATACGACTGGTAATAACTCAAGACGCCCACACTGAAGCCTCTAATTATACTTCACGAGACTTTTTGTATTAACGCGCGATTAAGCTATAGACACATTAGCTTTCTTGGCACAACTCGTATCCATCGCGCAATGTCTCACATCAGCCTTAATCTTTGGAGCTCTTGATTGATACCAACAACCCAATAACTATATGCAACAACATTGTAAAGTCTCAATTTCTTCTCTCCATGTGACATCAACTCTCTTCGCAACTATCCCCACTCCAGCATTGGTTCTTCTATAACTAACACAGACAATTTCCTACACTTTCTCACCTAACATTCGATCTTGCATTAGTTCTAAACAGCTCCTTATAAAATGAGCTCTTAGTTGATCTCTCCACGAATATGCACTTGAAATTTTTTATTGATCTCTACTATGCCAATACTTACAATACGCAATCCTATACACTCAAGGGTACAATTGCCTAAGTACAGAGTAACTATCATCTGAACACGTGTTTCTAGCATTCTGGATCACTCTTTCATTTTGCTCTAACTTATGTGAGGTTCACACCATTCCCGAGGAATGCTACACGCTCCAGGAGGTCCTAGGGGAGATCCATCAAAACCAATCCCTAAATACGCAATCATGCTCAACTGTTGACACCCAATAAGACCCGGGCCTGATGAACCTAAGTTGTGTAAGGAACCCCTAGACAGTTAGTTCAGTCAAGCCTGTAAAGTCCAGGATGGAGAAAACACACAGCTCGGAGACGAAGAATGTTCGAGGATGAATACTGGGCAATGTCAATCTGTGTGAGAAACTGGGGAAGTATCTCGGTGTACATCATCACTCCTACGAACCACTTGATTAAAACTGGGCGCCGGTTCGGTATAATAGAGACCTGGGGTGTCCACATCATACCTTCTTATTAGAGTATTTGTTTATTTTTTTTAAACTGCAGGTTACTGCACAGATTTGTAGAATGAACACATAAAGAGCCTATGCTCTGAGACGCTAACAGATTGTATTTCAATTAGCACACTTGCACAACTGTGCATGCAGGATTACAGTGAGACCTTTTTCAGTCTCGTTGTTCATTATAATTGCAAGACATACAGTGCTATGACCTATTGACGATTCCAATTCACATTATTCACACTAGTAGTAATACAAAAATGTACTGACATATTCCGGCAAGGCTTATACGATACTAGAAGTTTTAACAATAGCCAATAATACCATATGCTATTAAATATTCATCAGCATGGGTTGTCCCATAGGAAAAAGTTACAACACATTAGACAGAACGCAAATCACACTCCATACCACAATTAATCCGAAAAAGATCGAAGACTATTC